GGCCTATGAACTGGCTAAGAAGCCTCTCCCGCCGTCTGTTAAAGCCCATTCCACTAGGGCTGTTGCGACCTCCACAGCCTTTCTCCGTGGAGTCCCCTTGCAGGACGTCTGTAAAGCTGCCACGTGGTCCACGCCTTCCACGTTTGCATCTCACTACCGACTCGACCTGCGAGCCAAGGAAGATGCGAGGTTTGGTCGGGCTGTCCTGTCGGCGGTGCTGCCGTGACGTTTCCCTCCTCCTTTCAGAGGTAACCTTGCTAGTCACCCATTAGTGTGATTTCACAGAGACCACGAAGAAGAAAAAGAGGTTACTTACCTGTAACTTTGGTTCTTCGAGTGGTTCTCTGTGAATTCACACGGCCCGCCCGTCCTCCCCACTTTCCGTCATGGCTGTCTCGCTCTTAGAACAGCAGCGGAATTTGGGGAACTGAGTGGCTGTTAGGGCGGGCGGACCATGAGGTCCTGGGGGGCGGAGCCAAAAGTGTTACTTTAAGCTCTAGAATGTTCCGAGGCCTTCTGCGCAAGCGCAGATTAACCCATTAGTGTGAATTCACAGAGAACCACTCGAAGAACCAAAGTTACAGGTAAGTAACCTCTTTTTTTGCTGGAACGGATTATCCTCGTCAAGCGAGGCACCACTGTACATAGTTCAGGCAACTAAACAGATTGTAGAAGTGAACTTCACCAGGTGGCTAAAATAGAAATCACATAGACTATGTAGTTGGAAGTAGGAGATAGAGAAGTTGTATTCTGTCTGCTATAAAAAGACCAGGAACAGATTGTTGCACTGACCATAGCTTGCTAATATCAAAAATAAGAGCAGAGCTGGAAAAAAACACTAATACTAAAAGAATCATAATGCCATATTATAATTAAATAGCATTTCTGGTGAATTTCTAATTCATATAAAAATAGATGCATTACTAGTCTCTATTGACCATGAAGCAGAAGTACTAAGAATTAAGTTGTCTCAGGAATGTTGGTTCTTAACTTACAGGTTTTTAAATGTTGTTTCAATTGTTTTTATATATGACTGTTTTAATCTTAATGTATGTTTGTTTTTTAAATGTTATATTTATATGGTATTTTCAGATTTCTTATTTTATGTGTTGTGAGCCACCTTGAGTCCCCTGTGGGAAGAAAGGAGGCATATACAGTGGTGCCTCGCTTAACGACGATAATCCGTTTCAGGAAAATTGCCGTTAAGCAAAAACATTGTAAAGCAAAATTAAAAACCCCATTGAAACGCATTTAAAACCGTTCAGTGCGTTCCAATGGGGTAAAAACTCACCATCCAGCAAAGATCCTCCATACGGCGGCCATTTTCGCTGCCTGTATAGCGAGGAATCCGTCCCTAAGCACAGCGGGGAGCCATTTTAAGCATCTGGTGGCCATTTTGAAAACCCGACGATCAGCTGTTTTGGATCGTCGTAAAGCGAAAATCGGTTCCCGATGCAGGGAACCAATCATCACTAAGCGAAATTCCCCCATTTAGACCATCATTTTGCGATCGACTGTAAATAAATTTAATTAATTGACCGGGGAATGAAACCTGAGATGTCATTAGGGAAGAATGCAAAAAGACTATTCCTGCAGTTTTAGAAAAAGCCTAGCCAGGTGATGGAGGAAAAACAACATTGTTAATGAAAAGCAAGAATCCAAAGTAAGAAGTGACAGAAGTAAGGCCAGAATTTTGAATGCAACTGTTTAGTGACTGTTATGTTTAGTGTTTAGTGACTTCTATAAAGAGAACTATTACAGTAACCAATTAGAGAAAGAGAAGAGAACAATACAATAGGGGAAACTAGAGATGTCTTCCAGAAGATTAAAAAAAACAAAGTAGTTATAAACCTAGGTTAGGGATGCTGAAAGACTAACAGGGGAACATACTGTTTGACCAGTATGTAATAAATATAAGGTGGAAACAAGATGCTGGAGAACTATATATAAGAGATGCAAAGATGAAAGATTCATTTGAAGAGAATTCTATAATGAAGACCCTGCAATTTTAGAACATGAAGTGAAAGCTGTTGTCAGAGTACTTGAAAGAAATAAATCACCAGGAATAGATGGGATACTAATAGAATTGTTCCAAGCTATAGGAACTGGATCTGTCAGTATCCTAACAAGAGTATGCCAGCAAATATGGAAAACAAAACAATGGCCCAGGAACTGGAAGCACACAATATACATTTCGGTCCCTCAGACAGATGTCAAGGGGTACAAACTATAGGCTCCAATGCATTAATTTCCTGTGCAAAGTTTTGCAACAAAGACTTTTACCCCATTTGTTGTTATGTGCTGTCAAGTCACCTCTAACTTATTGCAACCTCATAAATGAATGATCCTCAAAATGTCCTGTCCTCAATTTCCCTGCTTAGCTCTTGTAAACTCAAGCCTGTGGTGTCCTTTAGGGCAGAGGTCCCCAACCCACAGCCCGGTGCCAGTCCGTGGGCTTCCTGGAACTGGGCCGCGGAGACTGATCCCGCCTGCACACATGGTGGGTGTGTCACACTTGCGGAGGGGCCTGTCGTGCTTGCGGGTGGGCATGCACACGAGCACGACACGCCCAGCCGCGAGCATAGGGGTGCATGGAAACCGCATCCCCCAGTCGGTCCACAGTCCCAAAAAGGTTGGGGACTGCTGCTTTAGGGAATCAATCTCGTATTTGGTCTTCCTCACTTCCTACTTCTTTCTGACTTTCCCAACATTATCTTTTCCAGAGAAGCTTGCCTTCTTATGATGTGTCCAAAATAGGACATCCTCAGTTGGAACAAGAAATGCCTGATGTTCAAGTTGGATTCTGAAAAGGAAGAGGGTGGAATTGTATTAGAAAGAGAAAATAATTTCATGTTCTGATCTAGATGTGAATTTCAGCTTATCAGCTCTTGTAATACTGCAGTATGAGAGGAAACATTATCAGGATTTAAATATCTGACTTAACCTTTCTATTTCAGAGACAGAGGAGATGGGTGATGAAGAGGTATTTTCATGGCTGAAATGTGCAAAAGGACAGTCACATGAACCAGAGAATCTCATGCCAACACAGATCATCCCAGGCACAGGTAATGCTTCAGTAGTCACTTCTTTCACTAGTCACTGATTGTCCTTTGTCAACAGACTTAGATCAAGATACAGTATGCCTGAGGCAAAGCATATTCGTCTTCTACTTGCATAGTATCCAAAGCCCAATGGACAAAGATTCCCAAAGTTCCTATCTCCACAGGAGTAAAAATACAGTGATAATTCGCTAATAATTTGCTGCTTTTTATGGCACCCTAAATTTGTTGCCTGCTGCTAGTATGTTACCACTCTTAGGTTTTGTTATGTAATTTTTAATTGCCTCTGCATAAGGATAACTCCATCTATCTAGCCTCGTCTCATTCTGATTTGATCATATTCTTATACAGGTACATGCAGTGGTGCCTCGCTTAACGGGCGCTCCGTTTAGTGACAAAACCGCATACCGACAAAGTTTTTGCGATATTCCCTATGGGGAAAAATCGCTTTGCGATGATCGGTACCCTGTTTTGCTTACCGATCATTGCAAAGCGATGATTTTTTAACAGCTGATCGGCAGTTCCAAAATGGCCGCCAGGTACAAAAATGGCCGCCCACTGTGTTTAGGGACAGATTCCTCACTTAAGAGACAGCAAAAATGTCCACCGTATGGAGGATCTTCGCTTTAAGGTGAGTTTTAAGCCCATAGGAACGCATTAAACAGGTTTTAATGCGTTTCTGTGGGCTTTTTAAGATCACTTAGCAATGTTTTCGGTTAGCAGTGATTTTTGCTGCACGGATTAACATCGCTAAGCGAGGCACCACTGTAGCAGCAATAGCAGAATCTACATTACTTTAAACAGGGACAGTTAGATCAGAACATATGGATGATTAGCAGTAGTTTAATGTGCATTTCCAGTTTCCAGTGACTTAGCAAGCAAAGCATAATGTTTCTTTCCCAAATTAGACTTTTAAAGGAAACTAGGGGAGGAAAAGAAGTAGGCTTGTGTGAAAGAATTTGTGGGCAAATTCCATCTCTGCTGTCAAAAACAAATTGTTAAGCTTTGTTATGTGTTCAGAAGTACCTTATTCTGCAATTGTATGCTAACTTTCTAAGTTGTTGTTTGTACTGAACTCTTACTGATGCACCTGTAAATACTGATGAGAAAAAAAGATCTTGAAAACCTAAAAACTGTTACAGTTGTTTTATATTATGCTCCTAAGATTGCTTAAGACAAGTGCTAAGACTGGTTCCTAGGTATATTGTTACAGCTAATGAAAGGATTACATGCAGGTAGAAAAAGCCTTTCTGTAGCGTCTGCGTGTAAACCTTGTCTTAACCCTAACCATCTGAGGACAAGTTTTTTGTTCATGTAAAAATATTTAAATATTTATCAGAAAAACACTTATGGCTACATTTAAAGCTTTCAGATTTTGCTATGTGATTTCATTCCAAAATTTCTAATTTTACAGCACTATATAATATTGGGGACATGGTTCATGCAGCACGTGGCAAATGGGGCATTAAAGCAAATTGTCCGTGTATTAATCGGCAGAACAAATCTGTGCTGCGGCCTGCTGTCACCAATGGAATTTCACAGGTATGTCAACTTCTCTGGTTATGGTATCCTTGTGAAACATGTCTTGCTACTTGGAATATTCTGACTGGAGTTGCTATCTTTAAAAAGACCATGGTGATCATTATATAAATTGAAATAATTTTAAAATTTCTTTGAGCAGATAGTTTATAATGCTAATATTTATTTTTTTATTTATTTTATTTATTTAATACTGAAGGATAATATAAATAAATAGCTATAATTGACTACATGATAGAGATACCGTATCTGATTTATTTATTTTGCTTTTTAGAAGTCTTCTGACGCTATGTTACATTTAGTTACATTTTTCTGATTTCTAATCAATCTGCTGTTGCTGGTAACATTCTGTTTATTCTTAGACCCTACTCTCATCTACATTTCATTTCTTTCTATTTTGATCTCAGGTTTTTCCAAACATGATGACCCTCCTTTATTAACAATACTAAACTAACTATATGGGTTGATTAGTAATCCAACTACTGTACAGTGGTGCCTCGTACAACGATGTTAATTGGTTCCAAAAAATTCATCGTTGTGTGAATCATCGTTCTGCGAAACACCATTTCCCATAGGAATGCATTGAAAACCGGTTAATCCGTTCCAATTGGAACGGATTGCCGTCCTTAAGCGAAAATCCCCATAGGAAACATCGTTGTGTGAAACAATGTTTCCTCCATTCAAATGCATTGCAGCCTTTCCAATGCATTTTAATGGTTTAGCGAAGTCAATTTTTGGAAATTTAAGTGTGTCATAAAAGGGTCAAAAACGGTTTTAAATGCTTGGAATAGCTTCTGCACCTTCTAAAAAGGGTGCAAACTTAATTTGGCTTTGATCTCACTTTTCGTTAATTTTTGCTGAATTTTTTCCCCCACCAACTTTTGACAGCTGTCAAAATCTGACAGCTCCCTTGTTTCCTATGGGGCACAAAAATATTCACCATAAATTAACGAAGACTCAGATCAAAGCCAAATCAGGTGTGCACCCGTATTAGAAGGTGCTTCAATCATCCCAAGCATTTACAACTGTTAACAGCCACCTTTCCTGCTCTTTTTTGCAAACATCGTTCAGTGAAACAGGGGACCCAAAACGCAATCGTTGTGTGAAGCATGGTCCCAAAATCGTTGTGCGAAAATTCCCCATAGGAAACATCATTGTGTGAGGCGGCAAATTTTTCAGAAAAAGCCATCGTTGTGTGAATTCATCGTTGTGTGAGGCATTCATTGTGCGAGGCACCACTGTATATGTTTTCAGTTTATATCAGGTGTAAATTTGAACACAGTATTAACACAACAGTTAAGTTTTGTGTTTGCCAAATACTTCTCTTCAATGAATTCAGCCTTGTTACGTGCTTTTAAAAAAATCTATTTCAAAAACTACTCCTTTATTGTTCTGTGTGTTTCTCACTTTTAGCAGCTGCCCAGTATGAATCCTGGTGTATCAGCTTCTGGAAATGAAAGCACTTTTTCCAGTGGCGCAGGGACAACAGAAAGTGTACAGCTGGACACTAATAGTGTTCCTAAGCCAGAAACTACAGAGAGCAAAGTTGAGGAACCTATAAAGACAGAGACCCCAGCCACCAGCAACACTGAGCCAAAACTGAACAAGCCATTATGTCCAGAAACAAGTCCTTCCTCAGCATTGCACTGGCTTGCAGATTTAGCAACGCAAAAGGCAAAAGAAGAAACAAAAGGTAAGCAGTCTGGAGCTGAAGAGTTTCATTCGAGCCTGGTTATTACTCTACCGTGCTACTTCCAACCCTAGGGTCTCCAGATGTCCTTAGACTACAACTTCCAGAAATCTTGGCCAGTACATCTAGTGGTGAAGGTTCCTGGGAGTTTTAATTCAAGAACATTTGGGGACCCAGGATTGGGAGCTGCCATTTCTAGCAGGTAGGAAAACAAGGAAGGTTTCTGACACTAGGGAACTGGGAAACAGACTAAAGCTTTTTTTGGTTGTTGGGGCACAAGAATTTTGTACATTTGGTGCTCATAAGCCACAAAAGCCTATGGACGGATGTAGCCAAATAACAAATGGGGGAACTACTCTGTTTTGCTGAAAATAAGACCTAGTATGATTTTTCAGGGTACTCGTAATATAAGACCTACCCCCAAAATAAGCCCCACTTAAGTGAAACCCCGCTCTCCACCATTGTGCAGCAACCAGAAGAAGATGACATGACTATATTTGAATAAATGTAGATTGTTGTACATGAAAAAAAATAAAGCATACCCAGAAAATAAGCCCTAATGCATTTTTGGAGCAAAAATGAATATAAGACTCTGACATATTTTCGGAGAAACACAATAGCAGGATTAAAATGGTTATCGCTTTCTTTAAAGTAGGATGAGACAAACTTTTTTATATTGAGGGCTTCAATCCCTGGGTGTAATCTATGTCAACAGGGATCAGGGCTGAAATAGTTGTGAAAGCGAACTAGAGCAACCCACCCATTTTACACCTTTCTGCTACCTCTTTCTTCCCCTCCTCTAACAGCATGCTGGGTAAGGGGCAGATTGCTCCTGGAAAGACTTGAGCAGTGGTATGAGGCATTTTGAAATGAGGTCAAGGGCCATTGTTCTCCAGTCCAGAGAAAAGACCTTGCTCTATTTAGATTTCTTCCACTTAGCCTGGCAAAAGCATTAAATCATGGAAAGGATTCAATCCAGGCTGCTTTGATAGAGGAAGATCTCTATACAGTACTGTACTGGGTCTGAATCGGTTTCCTCAGATCTTGTGCCCTAAAGTTAAATACATTTTAAAAACCTTTAATATAGTCTAAAAATGAGGGGATTGTAGTGAAACCAGCCTTAAATTAAGGTATATTGATCCATATTGTATCTTTCAAAACAGTTCACAGTTTTCAAAATGCAAGAGATACTAAAATTGCTTTTGTTTCATTAAATTATATACAGGTGTGTTGGAGAGTTCATTTCAAAGGCTTAAACTTTTTGGGATATTTTACGTGCATTGAAACTAAATTGAAATACCAGTGGGGTCTTGACTTGAGAACTTAATCCGTATTGGAAGGCGGTTCTCAAGTCAAAAAGTTCTCAGGTCAAATCTGCATTTCCCATAGGAATGCAGTGAAAACCATTTGATCCGTATCTGCTCTTTTCCGTCCAGAGAAACTAATGGGAAGCTGCTATTCCGCCTTCGACCACTGGAGGGGGATATTTTGTTTCATTTTTTCTTAGGTCAAGAAAGGTTTAGGGAAGGCAGGGAAAATACAGTCCAGGCAGTACAGTACCAGGCAGTCCGAAGACTGTCTCCCAATCCACTCTCTAAACGCTGGGAGGCGTGAGGAAGCAGACAGGCACCCTTTTCACTGGCCAACAGTTAACTGAAAGTTCACATTTTGCACTTTCCCTGCCTCCCACGTGGTTTTTTTTCCAGTTCTTAACTCAAATCTAAGTACTTAAGTCAAGTCAATATTTTCCTATGAGAGTGGTTCTTAAGTCAAAATGTTCTTAACCCAAGCCGTTCTTAAGTCAAGACCCCACTGTATAGTTGATTTTTTAAAAAATGTTTGCCTATTTGTAATTTCACATCTGTTAATATGTGTTTGTATTTGTTTACATTTATGTAAAAAGGAATATTGCATCTACCTTAAACATAATAGGGACTGTAGTGTACTGGGCAACACATTTTTGCCCCCTCCTAAATTTATATATAATTTTCATTAATAACTATATTTAGCAGGTTCTTGGTGCAGTTCTAACACTTCTTGAAGGCTGCAGTCCTGTCTGCACTTAACTGAAAGTGAGGTGCATTAACCCATTAGGCTGTCTTTCTAACTGTACAGGATTATGTTATAATTAAACCAAGAAGTATAACACAGGTTTTGTAATTGTTTGAGCTTGGATCTTTTATTTTTAAGATGATTTTTGGGTTGCACATTTAAGAATTCTCTGCACTGGGGAGCTATGTTTGTTACATGCTTATTGACGTATTGTGTGAATTACTGATGCTTGGGCAGCTGCCAGTAATCTTCCATGAATTTTAGAAGGTTTATGTTGTCACCAAACTAAACTGATGCTAGCTGGATCATAGCTTGGTCCATGTGGGTCACATGCGAGATTTGCCTTTTGACATTCAAGCATTCCAGGATGTTTAGAAAGAACTGTAATAAAGTGTTATGCTCTGATTTAAGAATTAGGTTTACAGCTGAAGAATCTTGAAGGATACATAATATTATTATTCCAACCTTTGATTTCTTTATTTTTCCCCTCATACTTGATACCTCTTTTTATCATCAGTGCATATGTTGCTTGTTTAGTCTGCACTCATTAAAGTGGTAGTAATTTTGTAAGGGACATGGTGGCGCTCTGGGTTAAACCGCAGAAGCCTCTGTGCTGCAAGGTTGGAAGACCAGCAGTCATAAGAGCAAATCCACACGACAGAGTGAGCTCCTGTCACTTGTCCCAGGTCCTGCCAACCTAGCAGTTTGAAAGCATGCAAATACAAGTAGATAAATACTGTAGGTACCACCACGGTGGGAAGGTAACAGCGTTCCATGCCTAGTCATGCTGGCCATGTGTTTTCGGACAAATGCTGGCTCTACGGCTTGGAAAACGGGGATGAGCACCATCCTCTAGAGTCGGACGTGACTGGGCTAAATGTCAAGGGGAACCTTTACCTTAATTTTGTCCATAGGTATTAAACTTACGAAAGATCTTTGTTTAACAATAGCCTTAAAGACCTCTTATATTGACTTCCATTACCATATTTTAAAGTATCATTTATTTCTCTGAGCATTGCCTTATCTGTTTTACAGAAGCGGGTTCGCTGAGGTCGGTGCTCAATAAAGAATCTCAGTCACCTTCTTCCTTCAACTCCAGTGCTAAGGCCTCCCCTTTAACACCAAAGCTCTTTAACAGTCTTTTACTTGGCCCAGTTGCCTCAAGCAACAAGACAGAAGGTTCCAGTCTTCGTGATTTGCTTAACTCTGGGCCTGGAAAGCTGCCCCAAGCTTCTCCTGATACAGGGATACCATTTCCTCCTGTCTTTTCTGGAGCTTCCACAGTAAGTAATATATATATATAATTTTATAGTTATATATTTTTCCTTTTTGAAAAGTTGTGGTTCAAGTGGAACAAATGAAATGGTATTTTTCTGGCAAGTGGCAAAAATATTTATGATGTGATTATAAATCTACATTATAAATGACATAATTATAAATTATAAAGGCATTTGATAAGAACTGATATGTCACTCTGATTAAATGATATGTCCATGTTGCATCATCTGGCTTTGTTTTCTTATTTCATCTCCACTTGTTTTATTTTCATGTGTTTCAGTAAGTTTGGTAGAAAGAGAAAGAATATTTGCTTATAATCCCTCCCATTTATAAATACATGCCAGCAATACTGGCTCAGAAGACCAAGTGCACGGGAACTCAACAAATGATCTTTCTTGTATCTTGCAGCCCTCAAACCTCAGTACTTTAGAGAATGGGTGGGACTGTTGAACATTGTGATCTGTGTCTTAAGAAGGAGCAGTCCTAAGATGGAGTTGCTCCAGATCCGTTGGGAGAACATATAATTTTGGATATAACCCCATCCTAATGCCTTTCACTTCCAGTAGATGAAATACTATGAAAAGAAAGATCCCCCCCCCCAGTTTTTCCCCTCATCACAGTGCAGTGGTAACAAATCAAGGGGTAGGGAAGAAAACTGTTCTGCAGGCAAAGATGGGTAGGCTACAAGGCTTATGTTATTTACTAGAAGATGAGTTATTTAATTCATGTTAGAATTTCAGAATATTCCCTTGTTATCCCAGTATGGAATTAATTTCTTATTTGGTCACTAAGCCATTCTCATGAGGAAAAGACTTTCCCAATTAGCTGCCCTCCAGATATGTTGGACTATAATTCCTAGGCATGGTTTGTGTTGTTGTTTCATGCATCTTAGAAGGCACCACATTTGGGACGGCTGCTGATAGGGCAGTTGGGAGACTGGTAAGCTCAGTTTGTCAGATGGTTGGAGCTTCAGCTACCTAGCAATTGCACAGATAAATCTCCACCATCCCTTTCTAGTTCAGAATTTAAATGTGGGTAGTTTATGTATGGAGATGTATCCCAGTGCATGTCAGACATTTGGCTGTAATAGAGGCAGAGCAAAAAGCTAGCTATGCCTTGTTTTTCGGCTCTGGACATGCCTGCGGTCAACTGCAACCCCTGTTTGATATTCTCTATCCATTTCAACCTGTGTATCTTTAAAAGGCTTTGTTTGTTTGCTTGAATGTCAGTAACCTGTCTTAAATTAGTATAGACAAATTATCAGTTTGGATTTTGTTCTTGTTAAAGGGCTGGAGCAGTTTAATCTCATATGTGGTGTTCAATCTGGATGTTCTAATAAATAAAGGAACAGGGCTGTGGAAGTATGCATGAGTGCATAAAGCTTATTGTTGACCACCTTGATCATTGGATTGACCAATGAGATTGGGATAAACATCATCTGAATAACATAAAATAGATGGAGAGAAGGATGTCATCAAAGGAAACAGTATAAGTTTCGACAAAGAGAGGGAGCCATACCTCAACAGTCACATTGTTTTCTCAACTAAATTGTATTCAGAACACTCTGGAACCACATGAGAGGTGCCACTGATGAGTCCAGTGAGAAGAAATATTGATAAAAATCAGTTCCACTCTTCCTTCAGTGTGGAGATATCTTGGATTATGGTCTCTTCTACAAGTCTGGATTCCACCTTTCTGAGCTCATCTTTCTGAGAATAACATTACTGTATTTTATGGATTTAGCACACAGCAATATAAGTATATTATATCTCAAATCAGTAATTACTGAGATTATTTTAAAAATTGAGTATAGGACAGTAACAGCTCAACAATCTCTAGTCTCCAGTAGCAGCACATATGCTGAGCTTTTTCAGGGATTTAGGTTTCCCGTTTGTTACCACTCCTTCTTTTCTGCATTTTAGCCACCTTAATATGTTCACTTTTCCAGTAAGTATCTAATTGGTTGAAAGTTTAGAATTTTTGGCAAAGATGTACTTTCCAAGTTTAACCTAGATTACTCTGTGCATTAATATATTCTAGGGGGCAAAGAGCAAAGCCAGTTTGCCCAACTTCCTCGATCATATAATTGCCTCTGTGGTGGAAAATAAGAAGATGTCTGACACTACTAAGCGAACAAACAATTTGGCTGACACACAAAAAGAAGTAAAAGAAATGGTAATGGGATTAAATGTGCTAGACCCCCACACTTCCCATTCTTGGCTCTGTGACGGAAGGCTTCTGTGTCTTCATGACCCCAGCAACAAAAACAACTGGAAGATCTTCAGGGAGTGTTGGAAACAGGGCCAGGTAATTCAAAAAGTCAACCTTGCTATCTTCCATACCTGCGAAGTAAATTAGCTGTTTTGTAAGGACTGATATTGTTGTTGGCTTTGTTATTGATATAATGACAAAGCCCTGCGTTGCTCTGTGTGTGATAATAGCAGATAAAATGCATTCAGAGCCAAAATCAGTATCCTGAGAAACGGCTCATCTGGTTAAATAACTAGGTAGGTTAAACTAAATGGAAGTAATGTGGTACTTGGAGAAGTCAAAACAGGTTGAACAAGATTTTTAGCAGTCAGGAAATGGTAATCTACTTTGCCCATTACTAGAGATAATAGAGTAAGTTATGAAACTATGAAAAATACATTTGCATCATTTGTACTGAGTGTGAAAACGGCTTCTCTTAGCACATTTTGAGTTTTCTGTGTTGTCCAGTGTATGTTACCATAGGCTGCTGCGGCGTCCTAAGAGTGGAAGCTAGCATGCTACAAGCCAAGTTCTTTTTAATATACTGTATGCAGCTTTGACTTGTGGATATAAATGTCATTATGCTAACCAGTTTTTTCCCTGTCCTAACATTCCTTCCATGATTTTATTTGGCTGTGTCTTACAGTAATTTAGATGCAATTCTTAGGTTCATTTGTTGATGCCTTCTGAGAATTGTCATACTGGAATAATCCCTTATTAATCTTTCCACAGCCTGTTCTAGTTTCTGGTGTTCATAAGAAGCTGAAGCCTGAACTCTGGAAGCCAGAAGCATTTAGCCAAGAGTTTGGAGACCAAGACGTAGATCTGGTCAACTGCCGAAACTGTGCCATAATATCAGACGTTAAAGTGCGTGACTTCTGGGATGGCTTTGAAGTCATTTCTAGTAAGTCCAGTCTAAGTTCATCATGCTTTTCTTCCCCCTCAAAACTAGTTTTGTGAATTTTGTAAATATTACTTCTGAAAAGTTACTGATTTCATCATCGTGACTATTTTTTATTTTTTGCCAAAGGACTACTCATTATAGCATTGGTGTCCTCCAAAACAATTCAGTATTAATAAATCGCAGTGAGTTTTTTACTATCTTAGTAGAGAGTGAGGATCAGCACTTCATGTCCTTTGTTTTCCCTGTTAACAGCTCAATTCTTCACCTTTCATTTTCTGAAATGGAAGATGCAGAGTTCAGCAAAGTTATGGTAGTGTTTGAAAGTCTGGACAATGGTCCTAATTCCTGTTACACTTTCATATAGTCTTGATGCTATTTTAAATGTCCTTTCCCTGGTATTTATTAAGATCACTACAGGAATGTCACCTTGTAAGTTGCTAGTTATATTAAACTCTACTGTACAGAGATATTTTTTATAAACAATAGCAATCCATTTTTAACCAATTTGACATTTTTGGTACCTTACAGTAATGATCCTTCTCTTTGCAGCATGCAAAGGGTTATATACAGTATAGAAGTTTTACTTGCCCAAGGTCATCTTCTGAATTGAAGACTAGGATTTGAACCCAGATCTGCCTGGTTTCCTGTACATACATGCTGTTTATTATAGACTTAGGTTTTTATTCCCACTCCCCAACTAATAAATTGTAAATTTTTGAGGAGAGGGGAACAACATGTAAGCTAAGTGCAACTACTGCTTTACAGAACGCCTAAGAGCAGATGATGGGCAGCCCATGGTACTAAAGTTAAAAGACTGGCCTCCAGGTGAAGATTTTAGAGACATGATGCCTACAAGGTAAGATCTCTTGTTGCTTTGGGTCTTTGACTTGGAAATAATTGCTGATGTTCTATCATTTATTCTTATTTTCACTTTATTTATATAAATACTATCCTTCTCCCTATGTTAGGAACTCAGTGTGCCTAATGTAGAATTTGTCCGTTTTAGGTTTGAGGATCTGATGGAAAACCTTCCTCTCCCAGAGTACACAAAGCGGGATGGAAGACTAAATCTGGCATCAAGATTACCAAGCTACTTTGTGAGACCTGACCTGGGTCCCAAAATGTACAACGCTTATGGTATGTAAAGTGGAGATCCATGTTTTGTTCCTGGTAGTAATCATCATCATTATTCAAAAACTCCAGGCACAGTCGAAATTATATAAACATTGACTGGTATTATATAATGGTACAAGTTTTAACCAAAAACCTAAGTACCTGTTAAATATGGACGTAGTATGTATGTTGTTCCTAATATTGCCATTTTTTGAAGTTCTGATGGTGTTGTGATTTCTGAGATCTGCAGCTGCTTATAGTACTGTGTGAAATTCTTCTTCTTCTTCTTCTTCTTCTTCTTCTTCTTCTTCTTCTTCTTCGTTTGCTGACTTTTAATTCACATGTTAATTTATTATCACTAGCAATCTTCCACATTTCTTTATACCTCTATGGCAAACTGGTTGTTGTGCTTCCAATTTCTTACAAATATCAATCTTGCAACAATTATCATAATATCTCCCTTCCCCCCATCTATGTTGATATTTTTAAACATATTTAATAAAGCAATCATTGGGCACATTTATATATATAAATCCGTAATCTCTTTAATCTCTTTAAATACCATGGCTCAATCTTTCTGATTCTTTTCAAGCATCCACCACATACGAAAACAATTTTTTTCTTAAATCTCCAGCATATAGCTTTCTTATTCATTAAATTCTTTTTCACCAGAGTTAAATGCCATCTCCATATTATTTTATAGCAATTTTCCTTAATTCTTATGGATAAACTCTTCAGTATTCTTTTATTTCATATCTTCTTCCAATCTTCCCAACATATTTCGTCCTTTAGGTCCCCTTCCCAGCCCTCCTTACAACCATTTAAATTATATTATATTTGTATTAATATATATTGCACTTATCCCTTTTCTACTTTTAGTCTTTTTTCTATAATTTTTAAAAATTTAGTTTAATCTCTACATACTCCTACTTTTTCTCTATTCATTAGTCCAGTTTTTTAACTGAATTATATTCAGTCATGAAATTCTTCCTTTACTTAAGACCCCTCTAATTTGTTCTGTATCATATATTTTCTTTAACCAATCTCTTTTTCTTATACCTCTTTAACAATATTCTTTTTTATATCCTCAAGATTGTCTGGAAATCTTTCTAGTTCTGTCGCTTGACTTAATGGAGAAATTGGTGGACCGAGTATTTTCCTGTATCTATTCCAACACTGGAACATATTTATTATATTAATTTATTTATTAGACTTCTACCCCACAAATCTAGACCAAAAGTCTACTCTGGGTGGCATTACAATTTTTTAAAAACAGTGAAACCAATAAATGTATACTGAGTCCAAATTGGCAAAGATGTCATAATTTAAGATACGGCAGGAGGGAAAGCCTGCCCAAATAGCCAGGTCTTAACTTTACTCCGGAAAACACCCAGAGACGGAGCCAGGCGGACATATTACTTAAAAAGGGATTTTTAATACTTTTAACATTACCTTTAATATTTTCTTTAAAAATAACATTTCTAAGTTTCATTCCGTATTATGTAGCTTGAATTTATACCAAATAGTCTCTTTACTATTAATCATAATTTCAGGAATATGTCTCAATTGATTTGCTATTAAATACAATTTAATATTGGGTATACTCAATCCTTCTTCCTCTTGTGGTGGATACCATAAATTTTTATTTATCTTCAGGCTTTTATTACTGTTACAAAATACATTGGTCAAAATCTGCTATTCTTTTAACTCCTTATCACTAATCTTTATGGGTGTCATCCAAAATAAAAAATAATTTTTTGAATAATCTTCATTTTACATAATTCTTTAACTTGTTTTTTCACTTTATCAAAATTTAATTTTATAATATCTTGCAGGTTCCAAGTAACATTTATCCCTAAATATTTAATTCTATTATTTAAATAACCTTCAAATTTATCTTTCAATTTTCCCCTCCATATCATTATTAACATAATTTAGATATATTCCAATGTATGTGTAATCCTGTTATTTCCTAAAATATTTATAAATGAGATTAATATTTTCTGCTGACTTTATTGGATCTTCTATTGTGAGTAAAGTTTTATCTGCAAATAAGCTTACTTTTACTTTTTCTTTACATCCTATTCCTTTTTTTGTTTTATTGTTCTTTGTTATGTTTGATAAAAAATTATATTAAGGCAAATAAAAACTTTAAAAAGTGAAATATGTTGGAGTTGATTATCAACTGTTTTAATTGAGCATATATTAGCTTATCATATGATTTTCTTTCAAGGATGTGTGACTACAGTGAAGATTGAAAACCTGTGCATATCAGCTGTAAATTTGTTAATTGCCATGTCATTCAAACTGTGGCAGACGGATATGTGCACTTCCATATTAAACTGTGTCTGTACAAGATCTGTTCTGGTAGCATTTGTTATCATTTGTTGTAAGCCGCCTAGAGTGGTCGAAATGACTAGATAGGCGGGGTATAAATACAATAAATAAATAAATAAATAAATAAATAAATAAATAAGTAAGTAAGTAAGTAAGTAAGTAGCAGAAAAGCTGTTTGATGTGCTAATTCTGGTAGAAAAAGAGACTTTTCTGAGACCCACTCTAATACAGTACTTGGTAGATAAAATCACTCATGTTAATTCCATTGTGAACTCCACTATAGATGGTAGATCTTGCATGGTTATTTACCTTTGATTGATATACCATGTCATTCGTGCAAGCATTACTCTGGGTGGTTTACAAGCTTAAAACCTCAAACCCCCCAAATATATATATATTTTTTAAAAAGATGGTGCTAGATAGATAGTAATTAAATCATAAACATAAATAACCTCGTAAAATCTAGAATTAGTGGAGAAAAATTGATACGTAATATCCAGGAGATTTTCTTATTAAAGGCAGCTTTAAATAATTCCGTTTTCACCAGTTTTCTAAAGAAAGGAGGGAAGGAGCCTGACGCATCTCTGTCAGTATTTTGTTCCAGAGACGAAGGGCCACAACAGCATTATTTCTTGTATTCACTTTTTTTGCCTCCCTCAATGTGGCATGGACTGAGGAACAGGTGGAATGGGTGATTTCTGGGAGAGACATTCCAACATGTATCAAGGTCCTAAACCATTAAATTTATTAGTCCTGATAATTATCTGCCTCTTTTTGTAGTTAGGAATACATTCATAGAGTTAATGAGCTTTATAAAACTGTAAAAATATCCATTTTCTTTATCAGAAATTTTACTTTGAAGAAAAAGTATTTGAATGTTCTTTCTTTGATTTTTTGATGAATCTGATTTTCATGCTGTTCACAGAATTCTTTATGATATCAAGTTTCTTTGCTGTTGATTGCTGTTTATTATGATAAAGTAGTGCTTGATGTAACATACTAGAAGGCACACAGCCATGAAAAGTACATGAAAGGTACAAATAAGCTAAATCTTGAGTAGCAGTCTCTTTGCTGCTTATTTACAGGGTTAATAACAGCAGAAGACAGAAGAGTTGGTACAACCAATCTACATTTGGATGTATCAGATGCTGTTAATGTTATGGTTTATGTTGGAATCCCCATTGGGGAAGGCGCTCATGATGATGGTAAGTTTTTTAAAAGATGATTTTTCCAAGAAACAACTTCTTAATCTTGTTAATGTATGTGAAAGAGTACTTGGATTAGGCCTGCACTATTTCATTTTGATGTGTTCTTTGTACCTGTGTTGCTCTTCCTGCTTGTAGTACAGTATACAGAAACAAAAATCATAAGAGGAGCAATGAGAGGGCCAGTTCAAGCTCCTGAATTTGCTCATGGGTAGGTGTATCAGCTTCTTTTGAAATAATGGCGCTTATGACACATCTGGTTTTCATGAGGAGCGTTATGAGCACTTCCTTGTAGTAAGTGTTAAGTGCTCCAGGATAGCCATTTTAGAGTCTTGCTTACTGTTTCAGCTGGGTGCAAAGTTGAAATCGCAGCTTTTTGAGGGTTTTTTTTCTAGAATATTTATTAGTTATTAACATTTTGCAGGTGTAGGATTAAATGTTGCTAAGGGAAGTTTGGTGGTGCATTGGGATTTCCATTTCTCATCCCCCCAAGACACCTCAAAATATGTTCTAGATGGATTCACAGCCCTCAAAAGCAGGTGTTGAGGGTGAATGGGAAGCTTTGGGAGAAGCAGAATCAGCCCCTCCAGGTTCTCCTGGTAGTAGTACTTCCATCAGTGGAATGACACTATTGGGGCCAAGTTGTTCTCCTTGAGTTCTCCATAAATAGCTGTGGTGTATATATACTAGTTGATGTCCTGCCAACAAGGAAAAAGCATCCAGTTTCTTTTTCAGAATGTTACATACAACGTGGTGATTTAGACCAAACCTTGTTGCTTCTTGCATAATGCATCCCACCCAAGAAACACACCTTTTCATACAGCTTATTGATGTAACTTTCAGAGGTGCTAAAAACCATTGATGAGGGAGATGCTGATGATGTTACAAAACAGCGAATCCATGGAGCTAAAGAGAAGCCAGGTGCGCTGTGGCACATCTATGCTGCTAAGGATGCTGAGAAGATCAGGGAACTTCTCCGGAAGGTACTGTAACAGAATATTGCAGCCCAGAGAACTTATTTGGCATACTGATAAGTTGCTGACAATCTTAAAAATCATATATGCCAATAATTTTATTGGACTATCTCATAAACTTTGCAGAAGGAAAGGATATATATATTTTTAACAACCAAAAATAGATGTTCTGAATTATGGATACACATGAGCAGCTGATTAATAAAACTAATGTTCATATTTTGATTTTTCGCTCATAATTGTTTTGAACTTATTTTTTATTACTATAAAACAACTAATAAAAATTAAAATATCTAATAAACAAAACTAAAAAAAGAGAAACACTGCATGCACTGTGCTCCCCACCATTGGGACAATTTGGGAGGAACCGCTTCTACAATTTACCTTTCTGCTAAACCCATTCCAAAGTTGCATAGACTCATGTTAAACTTTGTCCTTTCCCCTTTGTCAATACAAAAGTTAATTGTCCTCATACATCTACAAACACATATTTACTAATTATCCCCTTCTTAACTTTTGTATTACATGTATATCATTAATTGCTATATCTCAAACATCTCTATACCAATCACTTATGAGTTCCAGTTCTTAGCAATAATCAATCTTGCTGCTGCTAATAAATTAGAAATTAACTACAGTGGTGCCTCGCTTAACGATGTTAATTGGTTCCCAAAAAAAATCGCTATGGGAAAACATCGCTAAGCGAAACACCATTTCCCATAGGAATGCATTGAAAACCGGTTAATCTGTTCCAATGGGAACGGATTACCGTCCTTAAGCGAAAATCGCCATAGGAAGCATCGCTAAGCGAAACAGTGTTTCCCCCATTGGAATGCATTGAAGCCTATTCAATGCATTCCAATGGTTTTGCGATGTCCATTTTTGCTATTTTTAAAGTGTCGTAAAATGTTCAAAAACTGTTTTAAATGCTTGGGATCGACCTGCAGTTCAATGCATTCCAATGGGGGAGAAAAAAATTCACCAAAAATTAACGAAGAGTCAGAACAAAGCCCAATTAAGTTTGCAAAGGTTTTACAAGGTGCACTAACAATCCCAAGCATTTAAAACAGTTTTTGAACATTTTAAGACACTTTAAAAATAGCAAAAACGGACATCGTTAAGCGAAACAGGGGGACCTAAACTGTCATCGCTAAGCGAGGCAAGGTCCTGAACATCGCTATGCAAAATTTCCCCATAGGAACATTGCTAAACGGAGCGCAAAATCGCTCCAAAAACCTCATCGCTAAGCAAATACATCGTTAAACGAGGCAATCGCTAAGCGAGGCACCACTGTAGTTCTGTGTGTTCTTGAAGGCTTTCACAGCCAGGATCCGATGGTTGTTGTGGGGTTTTTGGGCTGTTTGGCCGTGTTCTTGTGGTTTTTCTTCCTAATGTTTCATCAGTCCCTGTGACCAGCATCTTCAGAGGACAGGAGCTAGAATTTTGTTTGTATTCTGGTGTAGTGTGTGGGATTGTTGAGTGTTACTAGTGTGGGATAAGGGAAAAATCAACACTCATCAGTAGCTGAACACGCCTTGAAACAAATTGGACATGAAATCTGATTTCAAGATATAGAAGTACTAGACAATACCAGCAATCATTATGTTAGACTACACAGAGAAGCTATTGAGATCCACAAACACCAGCACAGCTTTCACAAAAAAGACGAAAGTCTAAACAAAGCCTGGCTCTCAGCACTGAAAAATACAGCCTGCAGAAGATCAGTAAACTCTACCCAGCTACAAGTACCAGCAATCACTGCACACAAAAGACCAACCAATGACACCCATCAGTCACAGTGACAGATCATCTCCCCCCTCCTTATCCCAACAAAACACCCATAACAGAAACTTATCACAGGAAATCCCCAATTTCCTGAAAAGAAAAAACAAACAAACAAACAAAAAACGCTTATCCCACAGCTACAAATACTCAACAATCCCACACACTATACCCGAACACAGACAGAATTCTAGCTTCTGTCCTCTGAAGATGCCAGCCACGGGGACTGGCAAAATGTTAGGAAGAAAAGCCTCCAGAACACAGCCAAACAACCCCCCAAAAAACACAACAACTAACTAGTTCTCTCACCATCTACTTGACTATTTCCTTTTTAAATATTGATAAATATACTAGTTTAGGACATACAACTAAATTTAAATTGCTTATTTCATTTAAGTATTTAAAAACTAATGGCCAGAATTTGTACTGACATCCCCAGTGCATATGAAAATAAGTTCCTGTTTTCTGGAACTCTTCCTAGAACATCGAAGAACAGTTGTCATCTATTTGATTAAGTTTCACTGGTATTACGTATAATCTTCATTATAAAAATTCTGTTTTATTCTTATTGACATGAATCTCAATATTCTAATATTCCACATATTTTTCCAAATATTACAGCTTATTTCTTCTCCCAAATTACATTCTCATAACATTTTAAGTTAATCCTCCTGTTCTTCTGCTTCCAGTACATCTCCTATGCTTTCCCTCTGTAGAGTAATTTCTTCATATTTTGTAACTTTCCTACAATTACCGTTTCTTTTTATCCTATTCCTTGTCCACTATTCTGATTGAATAACATTATACATTATAGTATTTAATCTTTTCCTAACAGTTCTTTTATTTGTTCTTTATTCAGCATTTTTCTAGTCAATCCTTTAACCAGACTTTTTGGATTCTCTGGGAATTTTTCCTGCTCTGTCATTAGGCAAAAAGAGCTCTTGGTGGATTAAATCATTTTCTGTAGTTTTCCAAATTATGAACATATTAAGAAAAGGACTTTCTGTTTTTTTTTTACTATATTTTTATTATTTTGTAAAAAGAAGGTATTTACAAAGGTCAGGTGTAGCCCTTGCCTTTCCTTATTCAACCACATTAGGATTACAGTGGATGTTCTGACCTGTGGATAGACCTGAGCAGTTGATCCTATATTTACTAAAATTAATTTTCACATTTTGATTTTTCTCTCATAATTTTTATTGCCAAAAACCCTCCTTAAACAAATCTAAGAATCCAATAGTGAAATAAATTTGGGTTGGGAGCGCCTGCTGCATACAGATTCCGAAGAAACCTCATATCTTTCCATTAGGTTGGTGAAGAACAAGGACAAGAAAATCCTCCAGATCATGACCCAATCCATGACCAAAGCTGGTACTTGGACCAGACCCTGCGTAAGCGTCTATATGAAGAGTACGGCGTGCAAGGCTGGGCAATAGTGCAGTTTCTGGGAGATGCAGTGTTTATTCCTGCAGGGGCCCCTCACCAGGTGAGTTTGGAGTGCTGGGATTTTAAGCAGAAGGCATGCTATAAAACAAAGTACTCAAGTGGAGTATCAGAATGACCCAAGGTGTAGGCTGCAACGATTAGGTTAAAAAAGAAAGCATCTTTTGCCAATAATCAGTCTTAACCATGAATAGCCAAAATCATGTTTGTTTGTATGGAGAGTGTCCCAAAGCGTATTCAGCAGTCTTTCCCAACAGTTGTATAACAAAGTATTTATTATTCACTTGTACGTGCAGGAATCCTCTTCTTTTCAGTGGGATGATATTCAGCTTGTGTAACACTAAACTGGAGTTTAGTGTTACACAGGGAGCACTTTGCCCATGGAGCAACTATGCGGTGTGGTTGCTTTGGAGCATTGAAAAACACATGAATGGTGCTTGTGAAATTTCAGACACAGACCTAAGGACTGAGAATGTATGTGTACTTAGGTGTATTCTTGCATCACTCGTAAGTTTAAATACTAATAATAAATGTGTGAATAGCTGTATGTTTAAATACTCATCTAAATTGTGCATTATATGAAATACAGTGGTGCCCCACTTCATGACAATAATCCGTTTGAAAACCGGTTAATGCATTCCAATGGGGGAAATACCTGATCGTCCAGCGAAGATCCTCCTTAGGGTGGCCATTTTACGATCCCTTTGTTGCGAAAATAGGTCCGGAAAACAGCGGGGAGCCATTTTGCGAACCGCCAATCAGCTGTTTTTAATCGTCGTCCAGCGAAAAAACGGTTCCCAAAGCAAGGACAGAATCAACGTAAAGCAAAAAAACCGCATAGAAACATCATTTGCGATCGCTATAGCGATCACAAAAAAGTCATCGTAAAGCGATTTCATCATCTAACAGGGTTGTCGTCAAGCAGGGCACCACTGTATGACTTCAGTTATGTGTTAGTAGCTGTAATGTTTACTAGTAAGAACCTTACTCTGCACTTTGAATCAAATCCAAGTCCTAGCTGGAGTGGGTCTTGTAATCCAGTCCACTGTCATTACAAGTAATTGACATATCCCATTTATTTCAGGGAATATGCTTTAGGTAATATTGAACTTAGCCATTCACTTTGTTGTTGTTTACTAAATAAGTCATGTCCGACTCTTCGTGACTCCATGGACCAGAACACGCCAGGCATTACCATATGTTAAATTTTTAAAATTTGTTGATTGTTCTTCAGGTGTCAGACTATAATTTGAAGGTTCCTTGTTAACTGTTCTTTCCTGACTCAGACAAAAAAGGAAATTGTGATCAATTGCAAATCTGGGCTTATTTGCTGCAGTATGTGCCAGGGGAAAGAGGATGGGCTGTGTAAGCAAGCAAAATACTTTTGCGTATCTCCACTTATTCAGCTAAAAGCAAATACAGTGGTGCCCCGCTTAATGATTACCTTGTTAAACAACAAATCTGCTTGACAATGAGGTTTTTGTGATCCCTTTTGCTTTACGATGATCAGTTCCTTGCTTCGGGAACAGATTTTTCGCTTTATGACTATCAGAAAACAGCTGATCGTCGGGTTTCAAAATGGCCGCCCACTGTGCAAAATGGCTCCCCGCTGTTTTCAGGACTTAATTTTCGCTGTACAGGCACCGGAAAATGGCTGCCCTATGGAGGATCTTCGCTATAAGATGAGGTATTTCGCCCATTAGAATGCATTAACCAGTTTCGAATGCATTCTAATAGGCTTTTGACTTTCGCTTGACAACGATTTCGCTGGAACGGATTAATGTTGTCAAGCGAGGCACCACTGTAGTGCTTAAAGTACTCTTTGGGTGTTTTTTTCAGTTTAATTATGCAGGCTTTATTGCCCCTTTCCCTCCAGCTAGATACTCATAAGGATGGAAGGTTAAGTCAACCTTGATGGCTACCTGAGCTTCTAATAGGCTTTTGACTTTCGCTTGACAACGATTTCGCTGGAACGGATTAATGTTGTCAAGCGAGGCACCACTGTAGTGCTTAAAGTACTCTTTGGGTGTTTTTTTCAGTTTAATTATGCAGGCTTTATTGCCCCTTTCCCTCCAGCTAGATACTCATAAGGATGGAAGGTTAAGTCAACCTTGATGGCTACCTGAGCTGAGGATCAAACTCAGGTCATGAGCAGAGTCTTCACTGCAGTTGTTGTTGTTTAGTCATTAAGTTGTGTCCGACTCTTTGTGACCCCATGGAGCAGAGCACGCCAGGCCCTCCTGTCTTCCACGGCCTCCTGGGGTTTGGTCAAATTCGCGTTTGTAGCTTTGGTGACACTGTCCAACCATCTCGTCCTCTGTTGTCCCCTTCTCTTCTTGCCTTCACACTTTCCCAACATCAGGGATTTTTCCAGGGAGTCTTCTCTTCTCATGAGGTGACCAAAGTATTGGCACCTCAGCTTCAGGATCTGTCCTTCCAGTGAGCACTGGGGTTGATTTCCTTCAAAATGGATAAGTTTGTTCTCTTTGCAGTCCAGGGGACTCTCAAGACTCTCCTCCAGCACCAGAATTCAAAAGCATCGATTATTCGGTGGTCAGCCTTCTTTATGGTCCAGCTCTCACTTCCATGGCTACTGGAAAAACCATAGCTTTGACTATGCAGACCTTTGTTGGCAAGGTGATGTCTCTTTTTAAGATGCTGTCTAGGTTTGTCATCGCTTTCCTCCAAGAAGCAGGCGTCTTTTAATTTCGTGGCTGCTGTCACCATCTGCAGTGATCATGGAGCCCAAGAAGGTAAACTCTGTCACTGCCTCCATATCTTCCCCTTCTATTTGCCAGGAGGTGATGGGATCAGTGGCCATAATCTTAGGTTTTTTGATGTTGAGCTTCAGGCCATTTTTTGCACTCTCCTCTTTTACCCTCATTAAGAGGTTCTTTAAGTCCTCCTCACTTTCTGCCATCAGAGTGGTATCATCTACATATCTGAGGTTGTTGATATTTCTTCCAGAAATCTTAATTCCGGTTTGGGATTCATCCAGTCCTGCCTTTCGTATGATGTATTCTGCATATAAGTTAAATAAGCAGGTAGACAATATAGCCTTGTCATACTTCTTTCCCAATAGCCTTGTCATACTTCTTTCCCAATTTGGAACCAATCAGTTGTTCCATATTCAGTTCTTACTGGTGCTTCCTGTCCCACATATAGATTAATCAGGAGATACATAAGGTGGTCAGGCACTCCCATTTCTTTAAGAACCTGCCATAGTTTGTTGTGGTCCACACAGTCAAAGGCTTTTGCGTAGTCAATGAAGCAGAAGCAGAAGTTTTTCTGGAACTCTCTGGCTTTTTCCATAATCCAGTGCATGTTAGCAATTTGATCTCTAGTTCCTCTGCCCCTTCGAAATCCAGCTTGTACTTCTGGGAGTTCTCGGTCCACATACTGCTGAAGCTTGCCTTGTAGGATTTTGAGCATAACCTTGCTAGCGTGTGAAATGAGTGCAATTGTACAGTAGTTGGAGCATTCTTTGGCACTGTCCTTCTTTGGGATCAGGATGTAGACTGATATTTTCCAGTCCTCTGGCCACTGTTGAGTTTTCCAAACTCTCTGGCATATTGAATATAGCACCTTAACTGCGTTATCTTTTAAGATTTTAAATAGTTCAACTGGAATGCCATCACCTCCACTGGCCTTGTTGTTAAACAAGCTTTCTAATGCCCACTTGACTTCACTCTCGTGGATATCTGGCTCTAGGTGAGCAACCACACTATCTGGGTTGTCCGGGATATCCAAATGTTTCTGGTATAATTCCTCTATGTATTCTTGCCACCTCTTCTTAATGTCTTCTGCTTCTGTTAGGTCCCTCCCATTTTTATCCTTTATCATGTCAATCTTTGCACAAAATGTTCCTTTAATATATCCAATTTTCTTGAACAGAACTCTGTTTTTTCCCTTTCTATTCTTTTTCTCTATTTCTTTACACTGTTCATTTAAGAAGGCCCTCTCGTCTCTCCTTAGTATTCTTTGGAAGTCTGCATTTAATTTTCTGTAACTTTCCCTATCTCCCTTGCATTTTGTTTCCCTTCCCTTCTCTGCTATTTGTAAGGCCTCGTTGGACAGCCACTTTGCTTTCTAGCCTTTCCTTTTCTTTGGGATGGTTTTCTTTCTGCCTCCTGTACAATGTTGTAAGTCTTCATAAAATTGGTCAGTTTCAGTCTCCTCAGCATTGGTGGTTGGTACATAAACTTGGATTACTGTGATGTTGAAAGGTGTGCCTTGGATTCATATAGAAATCATTCTATCATTTTTGAGATTGTATCCCAGTACAGCTTTTCCCACTCTTTTATTGACTATGAGGGCTACTCCATTTTATCTATGGGATTCTTGCCTACAATAGTAGATATGGTAATTGTCTGAATTGAATTCACCCATTCCCATCCATTTTAGTTCACTGATACCCAGGATGTCAATGTTTATTCTTGCCATCTCCTGTTTGACCATCTCCAGCTTACCAAGGTTCATAGATCTTACATTCCAGGTTCCTATGCAGTATTTTTCTTTGCAGCATCTGACTTTCCTTTCACTTCCAGGCACGTCTGCAGCTGAGCATCCTTTTGCCTTTGGCCCAACCACTTCATTAGCTCTGGAGCTACTTGTGCTTTTCCTCCGCTCTTCCTCAGTAGCGTGTTGGATGCCTTCCAACCTGAGGAGCTCATCTTCCAGCGTCATATCTTTTAGCTTTTTGTTTCTGTTCATGGGGTTTTCTTGGCAAAGATACTGGAGTGGCTTGCCAGTTCCTGCTCCATGTGGATCATGTTTAGTCAGAACTCTCCACTATGACCTATCTGTCTTGGGTGTCCCTGCACGGTATAGCCCATAACTTCTCTGAATTACTCAATCCCCTTTGCCACAACAATCCATGAAGGACTGCAGTCTAACCACTGTACTATGAAGCTCAAGTTAGTTGGTATAGCATCTTTCAAATATGCCTATTCTGTTACTTCTACCATCATTTGAAGTTCAGTAAAACTAGATGTTGAAGTTTCTTCATAATTTCTAGAATGGCTGAACAATTCAGGGTTTTTTAAAAAAAATCATTTTTAGGCCAACATGTTTTATTCCATGTCTTGCATTCAGAATAATACACTTTTGACATTGTCATCCCCTCCTCCCTTAAATTGCTTAATCTGAGTCAGAAACCAACACATTTTGAATTGTGTATCTTTTTTATTCACATACCTAGTTGTCTAGACTTTCTTGATCGAGCTTATCTTTATTCCTTCCTTTAAATCAGAATGGGGAAGCTCTGGATGTCTGAAACCAGTTTTCTGTCCCCTGGGGCTGCAATGATCCTGACACATGTTTTTAGAAGTGAGAACAGTTTAGCAGAAATGGCATTTTAAAATGCTGCTTTGTATGTTTGGGAGCCTGTATTTTCTTTAAAAGAAAAATCACTGCTTCTTGAAGTTTTTGGCAGTGGCTGTCAGTTTTTCTGTTAGTCTTTTGGATGCACACACAGTAGGCAAGAAGGGCTGTGAGGAGCTACAAAAATTATTTTGACAAATCAATTGAAGCCTAATAACTTACGAAAATCTAAGTTATACTAGAGAAACCAGTTGCAATTTTGCGATCTAATCTTCTTGTATTGCTGGAAAAACTTACTTTTGTTTTCTTGTGGAGTTGTTTTCTTGTGGGGCAATTTGGAAAGTCAGCTTGGATCAGCTTATTTCTTCCTGTTAAATGTGTGGCCAGGAACTCTTCAAGATGACATGTACTTACTTTTACTGAGGGGAGCAACAGTGAATGAGTTTGGCTGTTGAGCTTTGTAATGTATTTAGTACCAAGTTTTACTGCTTAATTTTTCAGGTTCATAATTTGTATAGCTGCATTAAAGTAGCAGAAGATTTTGTATCTCCTGAGCATGTAAAGCACTGCTTCCGACTGACCCAGGAGTTCAGGCACCTGTCTAACACTCACACAAACCATGAGGATAAGCTACAGGTAAGCAACCCTCAGTCTGGTGGGACAATCCCTGAGATAGAAACATTTACTCACGAAGGCTTTCACTGCCGGGATCAAATGGTTGTTGTGAGTTTTTCTGGCTCTTTGGCTGTGTTCTGAAGGTTGTTCTTCCTGACATTTTGCCAGTCTCTGTGGCCGGCATCTTCAGAGGACAGCCCACAACAATCATTAGAAACATTTACACTTGAATTAACAGAAGGATAATTGTAAAGGGAGGATCCCGCAGCTAAGTGAAATGAATCCTAGAAACATTTACACTTGAATTAACAGAAGGATAATTGTAAAGGGAGGATCCTGCAGCTTAGTGAAATGAATCCTGACATTTTTATAGCCTTTCTTTCAAACTTTTGTCAGAATCAGAATAGTGCATACAATGGGTTCCGTCCAAGGAAGGGTAAGCAGAATTCTACTCAGGCAGGAGGGTGGTGTGGTTTTGTTGTTGTTGTTGTTTGTTTGTTTGGCTGCTGCATCTACCCAGCCCTCCAGAGCTCTTGAGGGTTGGGAACTTGTGGGTGGGTTGGGACCCGAGGAGAGAGGTTGCCAGAATTTCAGGCAGCTTCTGCCTTATGTAAACAGAAGTACTGTTTGGTACAAGATACTTTTGGTGCCAACTCAGTGATATAGAAAGTTTAATATATACAGTACTTTAAAAGCATTGTATTTTTAAAAGTCTCTTGTAATACATATTGTTGTAAAGCTAGCTATTCAGCTAGCTATTTTGAAAGCATTTCAATAGATTGATTTTTCTTACAACTTCGCTTCAATATAGCACTTCCATTATGCACATGGAAATTAAAATTGTCCTGTTCTGTAGCATCTCTTTTATAAGTACTTGTCAGTTTTCCCAAAAATTCTTGCCTAGGCTACAAAATGTGAATAGCAAGGTGAATAGTTAATTTATTAATATGTCACCTTCAAGGAATATTAGAGGCTCAGACAACACCTCTTTGTATTATTTTCTTATATATGTTCAGCTTTAAGTACAGGGAATTAATATTTAAGGAACTCTGATGTATTAACATGAGAGGAAGGAGATCACTATTTGAGAATTTCAGTGTTTGGAGTTTTCATTTTCTTCTGTTTACAGGTGAAGAACATTATCTACCATGCAGTCAAAGATGCTGTTGGCACACTGAAAGCTCATGAATCCAAACTGGCCAGGTCTTAGGAGTGGGAGATTCCATGCCCCCTTCTGGAGTCTTTTTATTTTTCCTCACAGTGTAGAAGGGGAAGTGCTCATGCCTGTCTCTGCAGGAGCCAGAGACCTCCTCCAATTCAGAGATTCTGGCATTCATTACACTCTCCAGCCACTGTCTTCTATGCTGCCTCAATACAGAACATCTGAAGAAAGGTCACTGTAATGTAGAATTCCTGACTAATGAAAGGTGCTGTGTCCCTTTCCTGTGGCCTTTTGCAAATTGAAATTGTACGGAAACCATGTGGTGTTCGTGCATATTATGAATAGAAAGTGTGAACCTTTTTCATGCCTAGTTAGTCTTTCCAAGAAGTTAGAAAGAATGATGTGAAGATGGACATTCTGTTGCAGATTTAAGTAGCTAGCTCTGAATCAGTGTGACCACCAGGATGCCAGCTACAGAAAACATGGACACAAGTCCTCCTGAATTTGACAAAGGCCAAGAAAAAAAGGAATGTACTTCATGCTCCCTGTAATACTTCTCTGTATGCTGTAGAAATGCAGAACTTGAGAGAAAGAAACCACTGTTTTTCCCAGATGGCTCCAGGATTAAAAATTGTGTATTTAGTGAAAAACTAGGTTTGTAGTGAAACAGTATTTCATGAAAGTAGATATTTTTAGAATTTGAAATATCACAACTATTCCTGGATTATAAAGAAAGGCACATTGTTGTTTAGTCTTTCTCAAATAAAATATTTCAGGAAACTATTCTTAGAAGTAAATCCAGAATAGCACAATTGGCCAGAGGAGAGCTCAAAGATACTGATTTCTGACACCAGTTTTCATGAAGATAGAAGTAAAGGGGCAAAAGAACTTTTATGTTTTAGAGATGTTGTACATCTCTCCCTAAGCAGCTAAATAAGGCAATAGTTCACCAGTTGTCAGTTTTAGATTGGGACTGCTACTTCCCAAAACTAATTTTCAATATCGGCTTTGTCCAGAAATATTTTCAGTAAAATGTTCCTGCTTGATAGAGTTGTATTCTGAATTGTCACCATTGAACTGATGGATTCCATTGTTTTGACTGTTCATTGGGACTATATCTACCTTCTATCCAGCTGTACTGTAGTGCCACCTGCAGGCCTGTTAATATGTTCACGGTTATTTCATTTTTTAAAAAATAAAAGTCATTTACTGTAGAATCTTCTTAAACTCAAACTGTATCTGTGCAAGAGGATTGGGGTTGGGAGAAGGGAAGGTTGCATATGCATCCATTTCAATTGGCTTTGCTTATTAACTCCTATCTCACCTCAAATTCCTGACAACTGCATTTACACATTCCTTGGAGAGGCGGCTACAAAGTTTTCAACACCATTTTGCTTCAGTATCTGCCAGTCAGAGTCCTTTATTTATTTATTTATTTATTTATTCAATTTCTACCCCGCCCCTCTAGACAACGTCTACTCGGGGCGGCTTACAAACATTAAAACACATTAAAACAATGTAGAAAAATAACTAACATAATTATTATAATTAATATTATCCAAGATGGCAACATTAAGAACCAGAAAAAAGGGGAAGGAACTTAGGTGACTGGGGGGAAGGCCTGTCTGAATAACCATGTTTTTAGTTGGTTTTTGAACACACCCAGCGAGGGTGCCAGCCGAATTTCAGTGGGAAGTGTGTTCCACAGCCGAGGGGCAACTGCCGAGAAGGCCCGGTTTCTTGTTTTCTCCTTCCGGGCCTCCCTCGGCGTCAGTCCCCTCAGCCGTCCCTGCTGGCTTTGTCGGGTGACTCGGGTAGATCTGGGCGGGAGCAGGCGATCTGCCAAATATTGAGGTCCCAAACCGTTTAGGGCTTTATATGTAATCATTAATACTTTGAAGTCAATGCGGAAACGAATAGGTAACCAGTGCAGCGCAGCCAGAGTGGGGGAGATGTGCTGATATTTTCTCACCCCACTAATAAGCCTGGCTGCTGCATTCTGGACCATCTGGAGTTTCCGCAAGAGCCTCAAAGGCAGCCCCACGTAGAGTGCGTTACAATGGTCTAGTCTCGAGATTACGAGCGCGTGGACTAGAGTAGTGAGGGCCCCCCGATCAAGATATGGCCGCAGCTGGGCAATCCGCCATAGATGAAAATAGGCAGAGCGGACCACGGACGCCACCTGGGTTTCCATGGTTAGCGCCGGGTCCAGATGTATCCCCCAGCTGCGGACCTCACTCTTTGCGGCAAGGGTCGTCCCTCCAAAAGACAGGGAGGCACCTATGCCGCTGACGGGAGGGCCACCCACCCTCAAGACCTCCGTCTTGTCCGGGTTCAGCCTCAATCCCTTAGACTGCATCCATTCCAGTACGGTGTCCAGGAAGCAGGCAAGACTGCAAAGTAACTGAATCAGCCAGCCAATCATGGTTAAACTATTGCTGTGCCTACAGATACAAGCAGATTAATTTGATCCATGCAACATTCTGAGGGATCATGAGTTTCACCCCAGTCTGATAACATGCAAGACAGTAAACATTTAGGTAAGAAAAAGTACTTACATAACAGTAATATAGAAGAAACTGGGATGAAACAGCTGTTATTCCTGTTCCTTTGTGCCCATGGGGCCCTGTGTGTGATTACTTTAGAGAAACAGGGAAGTAAAATTTTCTTTAAAATTGTAATTAATACTTATAAAAATTGTAATTAGTATCAGTTACTTTTGAGACCATAGAACTATAACAGTAACTAACTACTTTTTAAAGCAACTTTGCAAATTCTGATGCAGCTATATATCCACATTTCTGTATGCTGATATGTGTAAAAGATTAGTGTGGGATTAAGTATATCACAACATAGGGCTCCACACTTCTGATTGTTTCAGAAATGCTGCTGTATATAAGAGCTAAACTACATTCTATGTTAATGTGTATATTTATTACAATTCCAGCAAACTGGTCCTTGAGAGAGATTTCAAAGGGAAGCATCCCAGGGAGTACTTTCCAGAAAGTTACAGGCAAAAGTGGCTCATTAAATGTCTGGAGATGCTCAAAAGAGCACAGCAGAGAAGGGTGGGCGGTGCACAGCCTAGGGAGAAGCAGCAAATTGACTTGGTATGTATACTGTAGTTTTTGACTATCTTGCCGTAGAATTAACAAGAGTTCATCTAAGTTTTTTATGAACTTTCCTTTGTAGGCTTCTGTTAGTCAGTGACAACTCTGACTCCGTTTTTCCCACAAGGCATTAATTGGCTAGAATCCTGTTGAAATTGTAAAGATATAATCATGTAAGCATCATGTAGAATATTACAGGCTATCAGTTGTGTGCTCAGGTATGCCCGGCTTATGCACTCAGTTGTATGTCAGCTTACATGGCAATAGGAAAAACATGAACTCACTTGTGATTGCCCTTACTCACTTGGTATTTCACAGTAGTGATTTTAGCCTTCATATTTTGAAGTGAAATTCTGAACAGCAAGCCACTTAGAGAAGGTAATGGTACTTCAAAGATTTGGTTTTATTGATGAGAAATGTATTAATTTGGAATCCTCTTACTTTCCCCTTATTTTCTCTTCCATATTTCATGATTTTTAGTTTTTACTTTCCATTATTTTCTTCTCACTTGGAAATTCTGAATTTCCTTTCAACTTCCCAAGATACTTGTTCTGTTCTCTGTCCTCTAAAAATTATTTAGCTGCCTCCTCTAGTAAATGGTTTTCACAAGCATCTAAGCTTCAGGGCAAAACATCGTGGAAATCACAGCAGCCACTGCAGTTCAAGTTGCAAACCATATTTTATGTGTGGTGTTTTCAAGCTGACCTGGATTTCATCTTTCATTATCTATGATCTGGCACTTCCGCACTAAAAAGATTGCTTCGTGCTGTGTAGATGCTTATGTAAAATGATGTGTTACTGTTGGTTTGGTCTGAACAATTAGAAAAGCATAAACTTTAAAATAGGTAGCATTAAAAAAATATTCTGTTACTGAAATATTTATATAGCACAGGTACTGGGGGAACATATAACAAAAGCCCCCTCAATCCCAAAAGAAATTTATGACCTAAATCAGCAAGTGCATATCTTACTCAACCTTTCAAAATCCACTCCTGAAACTAGAATGCACAAGGAATGAAATGTTTGTAATTATATATAAACTTATCTTCTAAGTCAAATTTTTGTTAAATGACAAATGCTTGTCATGCTTGATCCCAGTGCACATTCTGAGATTTACAGTTAATAGTTAACAGTTTAAAAAATATTAAACCAAGTTGCAGATCCACAGATTATACTCAGACTTTGGAAACATTAGCTTCTTTTTCATGGTCTCTGTGAATGCACACATATGGGTATTGTCTGTGCCTGTGCTGACTCTCTCGCAAGATTCTAGAGCTAAAAGTAACAATTTTATGCTGTGATCCTCCATGAGGCATATGCTCCTCCCACCCACCATCTTCCTCAGTTCCTTTTTTCCGCCGAGCTGAACCGTTCTCAGGAAAAATAGAGCGCTTCGCTATTGCCTTTTGGCTATTTTTCTAGGCTCTTTTGAGCTTTTGTTTGTTTTCTTTACCTTAATTACACTACATAGTGATCCTCCAAGCCCTTTGTTTGTTTATTTTTCCCTTTCCCCCCCCTCCCCTGTCTTTTCTGTTTTCTTTTCGCTTATGGCCTCTCCGTCTCCTTTTAAAAGGTGTTCCAACCTGTGCGAATAAAATCACACTTTTGGACGCGCACAGCCAGTGCCTTTTTTGTTTGGGTGAACACCATCCTACCCATTCGTGCCCTGCTTGTAAAAGCCTCACCAAACCGGCACTAGAACAGAGGCTCCAAAGACTTCGGTCTTACCTTTGACAAGCAGCCATGAATCCCGCTTCATCCTCAGAAGTGGCCAGATCACCAGCTCTTTCTGCTGATAGACTTCCAGCGGGCCAATCCACTTCTGATTCGACTCCCGTGCTACCAGTTAAGGACACTGTTGACAAAGCAAAGGCGCCTGGTAAGCACAAGTTGCCACCTTCTCAAAAGTCTCTAGCACACGATGCTGGCTCGAAGAAGAAGCCCAAGCCCGCTCCTAAAAAGCCCAGAAAGGACAAACTCCCTAGAGTGGAACTTCCACAGTCCTCTCTGCATTCCCTTATCCTAGAGGAATCATCCAGAGAAGTCCCCGACTTAGTCTCGGATGGAGATGACACCCATGATGCAGCGCCCCCCCCAATGCCGTCCCATATCCCAAGCATTGGCCTCAGCGCGGCTGCACCACAGTCCAGCCCGGCCTCAGCTCATTCCAACCCTGACTTAGGGAGGGCACCTGAAAGCTCGGCGTCTGACCTGGAGGTTCCTCCCTCGCCTCCAAGAAAGAAAACAGAGAAGAGAAAGCATATCTCTCCACCGGCATCGGCCCCGTCGCATGGTGACTTCTACCCTTTTCCGATGGTACCATACCATTTTGACCCCCTCATGTGGCGATCCTGGCACGGAGGATACCAGCCTGACCAGGCTAAGCGACCAAGAATGACATCGGAGCTCCCTTTCTAAACCCGGCTCGCCCTCATGTGACTGCCCTGGCCTTGAGCGCTGTGGCCCCTTCCGCTCGCCCACTCATTCTGTCCAAGCGGATGCGCGATAAAGTTCACGAGGCCTTGCCCCCAGAGCCCGAACTGTCTGACCCAATACCATCTCAGGTTGCCTTCGAACACCTCCTGATCCAGGAGCATCAAGCTCCCCCTGCGGAGGGGTTTGGTCCATCGGACTACCCCTCATCTCCAGGCTTTCCTGCATCGTCGGAGGCACACCGGAATCCTCCCATGAGCCCGAACCCCCGCCTATCCCAGGTACAAGGGGCAGCCATGCTTCATCCTCTTCGGATGACTTCTTGTATTTGGCTCTCATGTTTCAAATGGCACAAGCCCTCAATCTCGATGTCGAACAACCTCCGTCCACTGATGCCGACCCCGTATTTGACAACATCGATCAGGAGAGACAAGTTTCTTTAAGTCTCCCCTTTAACAAATCCATTCTTCGTCTTATTAAAGACACTTGGGGTAAACCTCCTTCCATCATGCAAATATCTCGCCGCACCGATGGTCTCTATCGAACCCACGGTGCCGATGCCGAATTCCTCAACCAACATCCAGTGCCCAACTCTATCATAGTTGAGTCCAGCCAGACACGGACCCAGACTAAGTCCAAACCAACCCTTGCCAATAAGGACGGCAGGAAAGTCGACAC